AAATGTTTGGTTATGAGCAAGCGAGCAACTAGGAGCGAATCTACCTACTCAAAGGGTCTTTAATGTTCTCTTCCTCCTCCTTTAGATGTTGCTATCTTACCATTGATTTGGTAACAAGCCCCATCGTTGGATGTGAAGGGACGGGCACAGGTCAATCATACAGTCATCGAAGGCAACTTGTGAGATGCTTTAGCAATTTTCATAAGGGACTAGATCGTTTTATCAAAGGCAACATCAGGGGACATCGAGGGACTACAATATTTTTTATTGAAGGGTCTTTGCTAAAGCGTCCCATATTCGAGGGACATGACTGTTTTTCCGAGGCAACAAGTGGAATTACCCTAAGGGTGCATGTGTGGATAATGTGTCTGATTTGCATGCTTTTAGTCTTTGATTAGGGGTTGTCTATTTGTTGTTTTTATCTTTCCATACATACCCTATTTTACTAGCAATTATATGAAAATCGGTAAACTTGGGGAAATTAAAATCCTACGCTATTACATCATTAGGGGGATGGGGATATAGTTTGCAAATAGGGATGAAATAGGTGTCTAATTATTACAACCATATCGAATAAGTGGACAGAAATGGAGTATATATATAATGCAGAAATAGTGTAAAAAGAAGGAAAAACTGCATTTCGAACTATTATGTATCGACACATGCTGTTATGCATCGACACATAATTTTCCTTTCTCCTACCAAACTAAATCAACTCAGTATGAGTCGACGCATAATGAGATGTGTCGACTCATTTCCTGCTTGTGTCGACACATACGCGTTTTGTATCTACTCATGCACCTTCCATCTTTCTATTTTAGGCCCTGGATAGCAGTATGAGTCGATGCATACGACCATGTGTCGACTTATACCCTACTTTTTCACTTAGAATGTGTTGACCCATGTGAGTATGTGTCGACCCATGTTACAGTTGTTTGCCTCTATCACCATTCTTTTACATGTATCAGTCAGTTTTTAACATATAAATGATAAAAAATGAACAACAAGGAAATGATTAACCTCAAGAGTAGTGATTACTTCATCTTATCTTCATAAATAAACCAAAAATAATGTATGGAAAATGCAAGGTTAAGATGACTTACCTTGCAACTGCACTTTAGGTTTTGAGTCTGAAACCCTTCAAGATGTTGCGTGGACCTTAATGAAACTCTAGGAAGCTGCTAGACTTTCCTTTGTGTTGAAGGTTGCTGAACCAAATCTAAACAGTCAAGTTTATGTAGTATTATCTTTTGTTTAGAAGTTAAGAATAAGAGCACTACAGAAACTGTTCTTGAGCTTGAGCAATACTTATGTGATATGAAGTGTTTAGAGGGTTTATGGGAGAGTTTACAAGGTTGTATAATAGTGGGTTGAGGCTCTTTTCTGTTTTTTTTTTGAGTTAAAAAACAGAGTTGAAGATCCAAAGAGTTTTTATGGATAAACTGGGTTTTATGAATGAGATGGGTTTTATGAATGAGCGGAGTTTAACAAAAGTTCTGTTTTTTCTCTTCTCTCCTCTTTTTCTCAGAAAAAAAAAATCCTCTTTCTCCCAAAAATCCCCCCATGTCTTATGAATCAGTCCCTTTTGTAGCCCCTTTACTGAGGTTTAAGAGGGAAACAAAATAAGTTGTTTTGAACTATTTTTGCCTACTGCTTTGATGCTTTTTTCTCACAATTTTCTTTTGCCATTTTGGTGCAATTTTGTGGCTGTTATGATGCAGGTTGGAGCAAATTACATAGAGCAGTTTTTGACTATTTTTTTAGACTGTATAGGGCATCATATATAGGTTTTGTGACAGGTTTGTGGTGCAGTATAGCACAAGGTTTTGTAGGACAGCAAATGAACAGGTTTTGGAGTGTTGTGGCAATGTATTGAAGTAGCATATTTTTTGTTCGGCAATAACTTGAACATCATAGTTTATAGCATGAAACAAGTTTGGTTTGTGGGGCAATTTATGCATATTGTATCAAAGACAAAGCATTGTGGCAAGGCTTTGAGTCAAAGAAAAAGTCCAAGCAATACAAAATTTAGGATTTGTAAACTTGCAAAAATGCCACTTTATAATAACTTGAATTATTTGTAACATCTTGAACTATTTTTAGTTGTAGTGACAAGATGTCATGAAGCAATGAACTTAACTTAGAAAAATTCCCAAGTCTTGCAAAAGTTGGATTTTTGACTTTCTTGATTTTTGATAATCAAATTTCATATTTTGGACGTCTTGATGAAATATGATTTTTGGGACTCAACTTTGGTCAAAAAGTTAAAGTTTGACTTTTTAGTGTACAATTGACTTTTCCCACCAATTGACCGAATTTTGTCTATCAATCCACTGATTTCAGGAGATGAATTGAAAAATGAAATTAGGTCAAAATGACGCGCTCGGATCCTTGAGATCATACTTCCAACCAATAACCCAGGTATTAGGTCAAAAAATCAAAGTTCGGTCATTTTCAGTAAAAACCCTAATTTCGCCCATTTTGCCCTTTTGGTACTTTGAATGACTTTCTTGGAAAATTGTGATCCAAGACTTGAAACTTGATAAAAATAATCCCGATGGTCCATAATGATCCATGAAAGTCAATTGAAACATTATGAATCCCACAACCTTTGTACAAACTCAAACCCTAATTTGAGGTATCAGTGTTGAGGAAATTGTTTGAACTAGTTGATACTTGCGCAAACTTGAGGCATTGAAGATCTTTGTAGGAAATATCTTGAGAAATAAGAGGGAAAATTTTGGGATACAACAGCCGCACTAAGACATTTCAAAACACACAAAAGCACAAGATATTTCTAAAAATGAGTTAAGCATCTAAGAGCCCGTAGATAACTACGAATGGAAAGGGTGCTAACACCTTCACTTTCCATAATCTACCCCCTTACTCAGAAAACTCTCGAAATATCTTTTTATGTTCTTTTCACCCTTTACTTTGTTGGATAAAAGAAAAGTCAGTGACGACTCTTGCTTACTGCAATATTTACAAACACAAACGCAAAACGAGTACAATAGTCTATTCTGCCACCGTATCACAACTAGCTTCGTAACCCTAGTGAAGAAATCAGATATACTTTCGCTATCTTCCATCTGAAGTAATTCATATCATCTTTTGTGAGTTTGTAACCTCACCTCTTTCACCTTCTCAACGCCTCCAAACGATTTATTGAGAATCTCCCAAGCTTCTTCTGCATATTCTACATCACTAACTTTGTCGAAATTGTCTAGGCTGACACATTGATGAATTATAAAGAGAGCTTTATAATTCTTCTTCTTCTTCTTCAATTCTTTGTATTCCGCATCTTCCGCTTCTGAAGCTCTTTCATCAAGCGGTTCTACCCCATATTTTACAAGATCTCAAAGATCTTGAAAAACGAATATAACATTCATCTGTTTGCACAAATTCTCATAGTTATCTCCTTTAAGAATTAGAAGATTTAATGGAAAATTTCCATTCGCATAATTCATCGCCATTGATTTTTCTTCTTCTTCCCTTAATCGCTTAACCGGGACACTTGATACCAGATGTTGGAAATCCACCAAAATCTATGATGAATTTCTATCAATCTTGATGAACAAGATTAATATCACCACACAATAGCAATAAATTATATGTAAGAAAATTTAAAGAAGAAAAGAAAGACAATTAGTTTCTGCAGAATTTCTCTCTGTCCACAAACCGTGGAAAACTTTATTATTCACTTGTAACTGTAAATATTGTGAATAAATGAGTTAACTGCTTACAAAAAATAGAGATTACTTCATCTATTTATATATTTATGTTAGCTTGTTCTCAAAGTCAAATCCCAAAATTATAAAAGTTCAAACCTATTTTAAAACTAAATCAAATCTATTCTATTTTAAATCTAAATCAAATCTATCTAAATCTAAAATCAAATATGTGTGCAGCCTGTTTCGATATACAAATTCTTCGAATGGACATTCACTTTCATCAAACAACTGCTTCGACAAGTACTCCCCTTCAATACACACATAATTTCGACATCAAAAAATTACAATTCAACATATAATACACCACCCTCAACCTCGGTAAAAGTTGATTTTGCTTTTAAATAAGAACAAATTCATTTACTTTATTTATTTAATTCACTTAGATGCATAATTTACCCAAATAAGATGCTAAAAGTCGGTTTTAGCCATTTTATAATTAGGAGAAAGAAATAAAATAAAGAACTTGGTGGTGTACATCATAATACTCTACTCCAAAATAAAAAATGATTGGTGTCTCTATCATAACTTATAAGCCATTACTTCCAATAGCTTTTGTATGACAAAATAGTTATTATAAAATACTATTTCACCCGCCATCAGCCACTGCCAGCAATTTTTTCATCATTCCTTTTTTTTTTTGTTAGTATTTGTTTGTAGTTGATTTGTCATTGCTCTAGTGACCCATTAACTAACAAATGAAAATTCCACTCTATCTTTTCTTTGGTTGCTCCATTTTCTCACTTTTAATGGGATGTCATTTTCTAAAATATTAGTATATTAAGCTCTCTCAAGTTTAGATGATAATCTTGTTTTTTCTAAGTAAATGGAAATGCATTATAAACAAACATATTCTAACTAAATAAATGCATTAAAAACAAATATAAGGTACAATTAGTAAATAATGTATTTGTTTTAGTGATTAAAATTATATTTTTATTCAATAGTATTTAAATGAGATAGAGTGAGTCTCTTCTAAATTATAACTTAATTAAAGGTCTTGAGTTCGATCTTTATTCTAAAAATGCAGATTTAAGAGATTAGTCTATAGATTATATTATTGAGAATATTCTTATGAGAAATTTTTTTCTCTATTTATAAATTTGATAAATAATTTAAACTCTCATAAATATTTATTAAATATATTTAATTTTAAAATTTAAAATAAAAAATAAAGTATTTAAATCAATAAAAATTAAAAGTTATTGATGGTTATATCTCTAAAATATAAGATTATCATAATTGAAAATAGGAAGAAAAAAAGAAAAATGCATGACTTTGAATAGAGTAAGAGTAAGGTTGAAAATTAATCACCAAATACAGAAAATAATGTTTTTATACTATTTAACATTTCCCTCTTTTTCTCTTTCTTCCAATTCCAACCATTTTCTCAACCTTTTCTCTTGTTGCAAGATTCCTTCAACCTCTTTTCTCTTGCAACAATTTCAAATTCATCTTCTTCTCACACATACTAGCTTCAATTCAAGCTTTTTCTCACATGATTTGGTTAACAAATTGATATTTTCAAGGGTGATTGATTCCGGGATCTGTATAAAGCACAAACCTTTGGCGGATCTCTGAAATTTATGCGATTTTTCCCATCTGGGTATTGTTGATTTGGGTTTTTTCGATGGGTTTGAGATATAAAGCAGGGTTATTTCTCATAGGTACTGTTGTTATCATATGGGTTACCTCTGCTGAAGTTACACAGGTAAATTTGTTTAATTTAGTATGTAAATTATGTAACTTTCTTGTTAATTTGGTGTTATTGCATTTGGTGTATGTGGTTTTGGTTGCTTTGTTTTGTTTGTTATGTGTTTTAGAGACTTGGGTGTTTTTAGCGTTGGTTCAATTCAATGATTGATTGTTGTGGGGTTTATTAGTTAGGATATAGGGGCTTATGTTAATTGTATGGTTATTGATTAGGAAGGTTGATGAATTTGAGAGATGGAGGGAGTTTGATATGTCTTTGCATCATGTGACTTGATTTTGAAGCTTCCTATATGTTATGAGATTCAATCGATTTGTTATTCATGTGCTACTTTAAAGTTTGCATTTGAATTTTAAAAGGGTAATAAAGGTGATTTGAGATGGAAAGTTTTGTTGGATTTAAGAATGATTTGTAGGTATACGATATAGCTAATCTCATGATGTGGAAGCGTGCTAGGTTCACAAGTAGGGAGAATGTGTATAGCGATGCTAAGGAATAATCAGAGGTTGTGGTTTTATCCGATTTAAAATATAAATTCCTACGAGAGGTTTACTCCATTTCATAGTAGAAAAGATGGTGGAAAATAGGCTTAGGTGGTTTAGACATATAGAGAGAAGACCTGCGGATTCACTAGTTCAGATGGAGAGTAGATCAGATGGAGAATAGTCAAACAACTAGAGATAGGAGAAGACCTAGAAAAACTATAAGAGAAACTATTAAGAAATATCTTGAGATTAACGAGTTGGATAGAAACATGATTTTTGATAGAAAATTATGGGTAATTTGATCTATGTAGCCGATCCCACTTAGTGTGATAAGGCTTGGTCGTCGTCGTCGTCGTTGTTGTTGTTGTTGTTGTTGTTGTTGTTTTTGTTGAAGTTTACCCCTTTTGCTGCGTTAGTTTTGACCATGATTACCTCTGGTTGGATGATCCCTGTGGATTTCACCCTAAAAACTAATCCAGAACATGAAATCCCCACTGCTTTGGGACAAACCTTGTATTACTTCATTATTCCAATTATATGTTGCGTAACTTGTGTTATGTATGTCTTACAAACGTCTACAAGTGGACACTGTTGTCTAAGCTTGAAGATTTATGTTTGTAACTTCTAAGTTGACATTTTTGCTTCAATTCGTATAGAATTTCAATACCTAAATCCTTATCTAAGCATGTTTGGAGAATAATTTGTTCAAAATGCCATTGGAATTTGAAATTCTGATCAAGTGGTATCTTTTATTGGAAACCATAGCATGTAATGTGCCAGGATTCAAGCTTTACATCTATGAATGATTAATTATCTGAATTAAAATTTTCTCTGCAGAATATTTATGCAGATTATAAGCAGCCATTTGCGGTGACATATCTCGGAGCTTCTCTCATGGTAGTTTACCTCCCAATAGCATTCATTAAGGATTGGTTCTATAACTTGCTTAAACACCGGTCTTCTAAAAGTGGAAAAAATGCAGAAAGCAGCGGGGACGAGTTTCCTGTCAGAATTAGCTCCCCACTCAAAGGAAATGGAGTGCAGAAAAACTTTGAAATGGAACTCCCGAATGTGGTTCGAAAAGACAGTGATATAGATCTTTCAAGTCTTGCAGAGATAGCGCCATTGGTGGCTAAATATAATGAAACTGGTGTGGCAAAGCAAGAAAAAGAACTCACTGCAAAAGAAATCGCTACTTATGGATTTTACATTGCACCTATCTGGTTTGTAACAGAGGTAATAGTGCTATTTTATTCTGTTATATGACAACATATACGAAACGTAATGGTGTTATTTTAATATTTTATTTGTTGCTTTCAGTATCTATCTAATGCCGCACTTGCCCGTACAAGTGTCGCGAGTACAACAGTATTGTCATCTACTTCAGGACTCTTCACTCTTTTCATCGGTGTATTAATGGGTCAAGACACTTTAAATGTATCCAAAGTAGTTGCTGTCTTGGTCAGCATGGCCGGGGGTTGCCATGACAACTCTGGGAAAAACTTGGGCCGCAGATGACTCGCAATTAAATGCTTCGTAAGCCCTTTCTATCTCTTTTGAAGACCAAATTAGCTTCATTATTTTAGTAATTGTGCAGAACATGGTTTTCAAATCGAGATTCAAATTGTGAATTGGAAACCTTTTTTCTGAATCCTGAATTGAATCGCAAGTTTAGGTTGTGATTCATTAGAATAAATCGAAATTCATCATAATGAAGATATATACGATGTCCAAATAGGTAAGCACTAGATATTTGTATCGATTGAGTTCAATTTAGTATCGAATCGAGATACTGAACATATTAACGTAAGATACTGATAACTTATGATGCAAAATACTAAGGAAATAAATTGCTATCTTTCACACATTATCACCAGCTTGCTCTTTGTAATACTATTTTTTGGGCATTGACAGTTGATATTTGTGTTCAGCAATGGACGGCGCTCTCTTGTTGGAGATCTTTTTGGCCTTCTCTCAGCCATGTCATAAGGTCTATTTACCGGTTAGACAATGTCTTAGCTCTCTCATTTTACATTTTCTTGTTTCCAGACGATTTAGATGAATAATAACACAGGTTCAACATTAATGCCACAGTTCTTCTAAAGAAGTTTTCTGGTGAAGAAGGTGAACGTGTTGACGTGCAAAAGCTGTTTGGATATATTGGATTGTTTACACTTGTAGCACTATGGTGGCTTAGTAAGTTTTTTGTACGCTCGGTGCTTTTTGTAGTTACTCATCAAAGTCAACATATGTATAAGCTATTTCTATAATAAAAGTTAAAATAAAGCCAAATTGTTTTCATATAAGCTATATGCTGCTTTCATAAGCTTATGAAAATAAGCTTCATAACCAGAAAGAATCCTATTGACATGTCATCAACTATTTTCATAAGCTCTTCCAAACAGTCTCATAAGTGTGTATGTTAGCAGATAAGTTCAAATAAGTCAGTCCAAACAGTTCCATATAAGATCACAATCATTTTCATTTGGTTTAACTTGGTTCTTGTCTTATCACAAGTCACCGACATTTCAACGAATTTTATAATTTCTAATATATTGCTGCAAATTATAGTGATTGCTAACTCTCTTTTTTCTTTTTTTTTTGGCTCAGTCTGGCCGTTGTCGGCCTTAGGAATTGAACCCAAGTTTGCGATTCCTCACTCTGCCAAGATGGATGAAGTGGTTCTTGCAAATGGATTTGTTGGAAGTGTTCTCTCAGACTACTTCTGGTACTTGAAATAAACTTGATTAATTTATTCGCGCGTGCACATAAACACAGTTACGCAAATTCTTACATTAGATTTTTATTCGACTTACAATCCAGGGCACTCTGTGTTGTATGGACAACTCCCCTCGTGGCCACTTTGGGCATGTCACTCACTATTCCTCTTGCTATGTTGGCTGATATGGTAATCCACGGTCGGCATTATTCAGCGCTATACATGCTTGGCTCAGTTCAGGTATGGTTTATATTCGTGTTGTTAATGTCTATGCAACACTGACAATTTAGATTGAAAATATGTTTGATATTTAATGCAACACTGACACACGTGCTTACGTTCAATCACTTTTATTTTCATAAATTATCACCGGTGTTTATTTGTCAGTGTCGTGGCCATTGTCTGTGTCTGATATATTGACGATTATTTTTCGCATTGAGATTACAGGTATTTGCAGGTTTTGTGATAGCTAATCTTTCAGATTGGATGACAAAGAGGTTGGGATTATAGCACATGATGTTTTGTTGATTAGTTTGTGGACAACACATATTCTTTTTTTGGTTGATTTATCCTTCCACTTTTCTGATTTAGTGTCATAGCATGAGTCAATATATGTTGAAAACCAAAGCCTTAATCCTGTTTTGTTTTTTGAAATTTTTAAGGAAAGCAACAAAAGAGTGTTGTTTCCATGATGTATTTGCTTTTGTGTGTATATGTTTTTTGTTTTGTTTTGTTTTGTTTTAGAGTGAGTACGTCGTTTAATGAGGTGGGTAGCACAATTTGTGACTACACCAGTAAATGTTGTTTTTTTTAATGGAAGAAATTGAAAATTTTACTTGAGAGCGATATAGAAATGTACCATGAACAAGAACAACTATAGTTATCCGAATATCTATATGTTTTATCAATTACGTATACGAAAAATAAGTATATTACTTTTGTGTTTGTCTAAAATTATGAAAAGGAAATTTTGTATTTATATCTTCTATTATCAAATAATGATTTTTTTTTAGAAAACCAAATTAAAATAGTTTTTTCACTGGTTCAGTTAATAAAATAGATGATTCACTGAAAATTAATAATTAAATATACTATTAAAGTTAATAACAATTAATAAGTTGCTGTACACTAGATAATTATAATTGTCTTTGTTTGGCGAAAGGAGTTCACGTGACATTATGGATATTGAATTGTTGGCCAAATTGGATTTGAGAAGATAATCACTATCACCTTACATGGAAACAAACTTGCAAGTCTTCAATAGAGTTGTAGTCCGCCCTTAGGGATTCATATAACTTTGGTTACCTTTGGAGAATGGAATACACTGTGATGATATGTAATCGATTCCTAGTGATTTTGTACAAAACAATCTACATTTGTATTCTCGGGAGACCTTCCATATCGGCTTTGAAAGCAGTACCGTCTAATGTCTATTTGGAGATGAAATATCACAATGCCAATGATGAAGTGGTGATCAAGTGTGCAACCCTGACAAGAGCCTGTTTCTATCATAAAGTCATAAAGCCATGCATAGAAATCTGAATGCGACCGCCGTCCAAGAAAAGGAGAAGGTAGATGTGGATACTGGATAGCTCTTTCGGACATCACCCGTTAGACATCAAAATCTCGAACTTCAACACATATATAGAGGAAGCCCACGGACTAAGGACAGACGCAGAACCTAGAAATACATCTACTCATCAAGGCCAAAATGATGATTCCAAGACCAATCACATATGAAAAATTT